TGCTGAAGTGGAGGGATCCTTCTGTATTCACTGAGGGTGGGAAAAGGCCCTGGTGATGGGAAAGGGAATTTGTCTTGTGTTTGAGGGACAATGCTACATCTGCCTTGGGTGCTTTCAGAACTCAAGACTAAAGATGTGGACAAGTAGTTTATGGCAGAAGACATGAACACTTTTCCTCTTTTCCTTTGGTCCTTCATTCTTCAGTGCTTATCCCCATGCCCTACTTCACCTTTCCCCTTCTCCTCCTTTTCCCCTCTATGCAGTCTCTTCTTTCTTACTTTCACTCTTTTTCCTTTCTGTCCAGCATGACAATTTATAGGTGACATTTGAAATGCACATAAGCCACACACTCATGTACAAGTTCAGCAATGGTACTCTGTCCTACAGAAGGCATTGGTGGCATTTCATAGACTCTGAATATATCAGTGCTTGGACACTCCTCCCCATAACTTTGCCCTTGGAGGGTGAGGCTGAACCCATTCATTTGAAATTTTTGCTTCTTTTCTCTTTGTTTTTTTCTTCTGATACCTTCTCCCCTCTTCCTTGCTGCCTTCTGATCTGGTTTCACACTAGTTTTGTCCTTCAGGCCTGTGAACTTGCCTTCACAGTTATCCATGTCACAGTGTCCCTGAAGATATCACCAAGAGCACCTTCTAGCTCTGCTGCCATGTTGCCTGGTGATCGCTGTAACCACTGTAGACCGTGTTTAGCGATTGGTGATCACCAGTTCAGCCAGTTTACAATAGACACTGGACAGGGTTTTGCTTATGAAAATCATAAATTTTTGCACCTAACGAACCTTGCAGTTTAGATTGAAATGTACAGCTATGACTGTTGCAGTGCAGAGCACAAGTGAATGTGAGCCATAGGTGGTTTCTTCCTCGCCCTGCTTTATTGGCTAAACTCTGCTTCCATTTGTGCCTGTACATTTCCAGTAATCCAGAATCTGGCTTAATGAATTAAGCAGCTGATTAGTGAGCCCCAAGCTAAAATCTTCATGTAGCTGGGAACCACAAAATGATACTGCATGCCTCAAAGAACCATGAGTAGGAGATGCTTGGGAGAGGTCTGCAGGTGGAAGACAGCCATAGTTCCCAAATCTTCCCCTGCTCTGCTGCAGGATGAGGCTGAGCAGCACCTTCAGCTGTCTCCCAAGATGATGTGTCATCATCAGCTAGGTAATTTCTTTGTTTTCTAGCTAGAGTTGGGATGGTCCTTGCATCACTGCTGCTCACATGACAGTACCTCAGGCTGGGAGGGTCGGCACAGTCTGAGCATGCTGAAACCCCAGCCCAGCAAGCAGGGAACTGCCCGTTCACTTGTTCTATGTGCTGTTCCCTTTCAGTGGGCGTTTGGGGTGACCATGTGGGAGATTGTGACCCGAGGGCAAACCCCTTATGCTGGCATTGAGAATGCAGAAATCTACAACTACCTCATCAGCGGGAACAGGCTGAAGCAGCCGCCGGAGTGCCTGGAAGATGTGTGAGTACTTCCTTCCCCTGCTGACATGAGATTCCTTCAAAAGTTTGGCTCGCTGGAAGGAAACAGGGGCAGCTGGCTGGGATGCTGATCTGAATCTATCCACTTTTCAGTACACAGAGGCATTCACTAGAAAGTCTCTGGGTTAGCTACCAGATACTCTCTGCTGGCACAGCTCCCTGGAACCTGTGGCAGCTACACGAGCAGCTAACTTGGCTCAAGGGTTTGAGCAACATGAGCAGCTCATGGCTTTGTGGAAACTATAACTGTGTTTCCAGAAACTCACTGCTCCCTACCTTCTCAGGCCAGCGTCTGAGAAAAGAGATGAGTTTCATGGCACACCCTGAAGGCTGAATAGTAAAGCAATCTAGCAAGACTGTGAGGAAACTGGATTGCAAAGGCAATGGCCTGCAAGTGTCTTTCAAAGCTGGGCCCAGTTTTCAAATTTGGATCTACTGCTCTCACAGAAATAACAGGATGAAAGAGAAGAGGGCAGATGGGAGGATCTAAGGCTCTGTAGATGAGTGTCCCACCTTAAATTACAGGTGGAAACTACTGGTTTCGGATGTTTTCAGACTTGCAGGAAGGATTTGGGTAGCCTGTGGAGAGGAACAGGCAGCCACATGCTGCAGCCTGTGCTCCTGCCTTAGTCCTGTGGCCAAGGGACCATTCTTGGCCAGAAGGTTATGTGAAACGTTTGCTCAGGAACCCTTGCTCCATGGGTGGTGGCTGGAGTTTCCTGGAGTCCACATGCAGGGCTGATGTCCCATAGGAAAAGTCACCATAACTTCTCCCAGCTTGCCGAGTCCGGACGAGGTGTAATTATCTCACTGAGTGCCTGAGCAAGTCTCTGTTTTCTCTGTGTCATGCCCGAAGCAAGACACAACTATGAGCACTGACCTTAGTGGCCTTTTCAAACCATTCCTGGTGTGTAAAATGGATGACATGAAGTCTTCTTTCCTCCCCTTCCCTTCTGTTCTGATGCTGGATTATTTCATGTGGTTTTCTTTCTCCAGCCTTTTTTCCACATGAGGAATAATCTGTACTCTTGTTATTAAAGCTGTACACTTCTATCTTCTCAGCAGTTCATTTTAACTGTTTAACTGAAAACATTGTTATACCACTGCTTAAATTCGTTATATGTCGGCTTCTTGACTGCTGTGAGTAGCTTTGGTTCCAAGTTGTGGAGCTTATGGCCATAAGATGTTAGAGTTGCCAAAAGTCGAGAAGAAATTCAAAAATCTGCTAGGCATTGAAGAAAAATCCATCAAAACCTACTAAAAAGGTACAACCTCCATTTTGAGAGGCTCTTGAGCTACAGGTTATTGAGACCTGAGAGAATACACCAGAAGGATCTCATTACACGTTCACCCTCAGCTTATGTGCTCTCCCCAAGCATCTGTTCCTGGCCACTGTCAGAGGTAGAGTACTGGGGCAGATGGACTTTTGGGCTGACTGAGTACAGCCAGTAGTTTCCTCTGTTTCTTTCAAATTAACTTCTGCTGTTTGCCAGCAGGGGAAAAGAAAGTGTTTAATTTGGTGTCACGGAATAGGAAGTTCTGGAGCATTTAGAGTTATTTCTGCTGTTTGTGAGGGAGATAAATCAGGATTAAGACAACTGAACCATAGAAGGTTTCTGTAAAACTAGCGTGGGATCAAAAACAGTCTTGTAAAGCTGATAGCAAGCAAGGGACATAAAAAGTAAAATAAAAGCCATCATGAAATGCTTTATTTCCCAGTAAAGGCCGTATCAGATTTTTTCCATTTACAAGTTTAACTGAGGTTCGTTTGTCTGCGGTGTTTTTCAGTGCCAGTACTGTGCTTTGTTCCTGTTCCCTGCAGAACTGGCAACAATAACGCCATGGGAATGCAGCTGCCAGTCTTGCGGGTGATGCACAAAGAGGAGGAGGACAATGGCTCTGGCCGCGCTCCAGCCCAGTGGGCTCCGGCGGGAGGCCTGGCCGGCGGGAGGGCAGCCAGCACAGGGACTGAGCTGCAAAGGCGGCCGCAGGGGAGCAGAGCTCCTCACCCCTTGCCCGAGCACAGGCCATCGGAGCCAGAGATGCCTCCTCATGTTGGCCCTCGGGCAACCAGAGCTGAGGTAGCTGGTGTTTGACTGCAGGAGAAACACTGCAGGATGGGGCTGGAGGCTGTGAACGGCACTGGACACGTCTTCTGTGTAGAGGTGGTGCCTGTGCAGTAGGAAGGCTGTTTCAGCATCCCTCTTCCAGCAGTGAAGCTGTTGTCCATTCCTCCACAGCCCTCGAAACAAACCCACTGTGCCTTTTTCCAACCCGTCAGGCAGCGACAGCAGCACACTTGCATTACACCGGGAGTGCTGAGATAACACGGTGTGAAAAAAGGAATATTCTGGAAATAACTTGCACCTCCCACAATTGGATCTCTGTTTTCTTTCTTCCTGTGTTTTATCTGCTCTTGAACTAGAATTTGGAGGAATGGCTTCAGCCACAGCAGAGGTTGTTGGGATGCTTTTTGAGAATAAATTCAAAAGCTATTGCTAAGTGGTGTCACACTCATGGTCCTATTCTAGCCCTCTAGAGACAATGGAACGATGTTTTTACCAAAATGTTCATCATCCTTTGACAGGTAGTTTTGAGTTTTTTGGTACTGTCTAAATAATTATTTTGACCAAAATGAGAATGCCTTTGAAAATGGGAAGAAACAAGGAATTAAATCCATAATAGCTGCCCACGTGCTGTCACCTGTGCAAGGCCAAAGCCGATAGGTTTTGGGGGAAGTGTCTGTGCTTTTTATGCTGCACTGCACAGAGCCCCTGTCCGGAGGTGCAGGGGGTGGCTGCTCTGCTTCTCAGTGCTCTTGTCTCCCTCTATTTTGCAGCTACGATCTCATGTGCAGATGTTGGCACCCTGAGCCCAAGCTACGCCCCAGCTTTGGAGTGCTCCGGTCCCAGCTGGAAATGATTCGGGGGAGGATGTCCACACTCTCTTCCAGTCAAGATCCTCTCTATGTCAACATTGGGAAGGACAAAGAGGCGTCTGGGAGCGACCCTGCCCTGCAGGCTTCCTTCGGAAACACGGACGGTGAAGAGACCATTGCTGGGGCAGCTGCTGCTGTCACAAGTGACTATCGCTACATCATGAGCCCCTTGTGCCTTGGAGATGATGCTGAGGGTGAAAGGCATCCAGATGGGCAGGAAGGGGAGAATAAAAGCCTTCTGTATGAGCTGGAGACAGAAGGAGAGAAAAGTTGTTAGCCTGTACATAGCAGTGACACTCTGCTTCCCTGGGACAGGACGTGCGCAGCCGCGGTGCCGTGTCGCCTGGGGCTCTGATGCCGGATCTGGAACGGCTTTGAACATCACTGGTGACAGCTCTTGGGCAGCTTTTGTAGTTTTCACCACCTGTGTGGGCTGCAGTGGTGGACGGCTTGGAAAGACCTGTGGACCCCAACAACCCCTTGGATCTGGGGGAGGGGAGCAGTACGGTTACAGGTTGATTGTGTCCCGCTGAGAGGAGTTCAAAGGAAGGTGGGCAGTCAGAGTCTGTGCTCTGCTCCTTCTCAGACTGCTGGAGTGGAGCTGAATACACCTTCTGTTCAGTCAGTGCTCGCTCTTGTGTTGATGTTGTCTTCAATCCTGGCTGCATGACTTTGGGACTGGTACCTCTGAAAACACTAGTGGGTATTTACACTGACATTCAGGACAAGAGGGCAAAATTCCCCTTGTGTTCACTCAGCAGTACTGCCTAGACTTGTTGCCTACCTCAGTGGTTCTCAAACTGATGTGCAGATCTGCTTCTACCCAGCACTGAATTTGAACATCTGGTTTATTTCATACAGTGACACTTGCTGCTTCCTCAGTCTGGGGCTCTTTTAAGAGTTTCAGATGTTTGGGGGAGCGACAAAATTAGAAAAAATGTAAATTCAGCATCCCTCTTCACCCCACGTACTTCTTTTATGTCTTTCTTTTTCTTCTATTTGATGCCAATTCAGGCCTGACCAGACTTGCAGCTGGCATTGAAACGGGAAGGGAGGCAGAGCAGCTGTTTTGTTTGAGGATGGAATCCAACTTCAAAGGGATGGAAAGGAAACAGCATAGAGAGAACTTAACAGCAGTATGGGGAAACAGTGCTAATTAATGCTAAATGCTGCCCTCCAGGAGAGGAAGGAGACGGCTTAGATACAGAACGGCAGACTTGCTTCAGTT